TACTTTTCTGAAATGCACACCATCATTCATGCTAGCAGATGGTCAGGGTTTTAACTCCAAACGACCATCCTGGACACCACCACAGAGTTATCAAAACACTTCATAAGTGGGAATTGGATATGAGTGGCTGCCCAAAAGAGCACCTGCTGTGGCGCTGGCCAGCTCTTTGATTTAGAAAGCCAGGGGGTTTGGGAGAAGGTGATCAGTAGAAAAGCCAGACTAGATCTCTGGCCCAGGGAAGAGGAATCACAAGCTTAGGTCCTATTTACTAACCACATTGAATACATAGTCTCCCTCTATAGTCTTTTTGCTTGCACATATCTTATTCCTTATTGGTAAAACAGGGTCAGCACCAGTCATAATAACAACATACTTGAACTGTGAAAACAATGTGAGCACAACATGTGGGTTCAAATCTGCCTCAGCCATGTACTAGCTGAGCTATACTAGAAAAGCTACATTGATTCATTAAGTTTCAGATTCCTCTCCTTAAGGTGGGAATATTAATACCTATTACTCAGAGTTATTGACAGCCTTAAATGAGATAAGAAAAGTACCTGCAGTCTCAACAAACAATAACTAATATTATTACTACCTATCAGAACATAAACATCACAAATGTAAGATGTTTGCTTGTATTGTTTATTGATGTATTCTCAACATTTATTAGTGTCTTCCACAGAGAAAGTGTTCAAAATATTTTTAAATGTTGAATGAGTAATTATTATTACACCTCGTACAGCTCTTCCTGTTATGAAGTTATAAACCTACACAAGAGGAACTTGACGAGCACTTTTCATAAAAATTTTACTGATCAATTTGAGAGAGAGAGAGATGGAGAGATTTGTTGTTCCACTTATTGACATATTCATTGGTTGAATTTTGTATGTACCCTGACTGCAGATCTAACATGAAACCCTGGCATATCAGGATGATGCTCTAACAACTGAGCTATTGGGCCATGACTGGCCAAGTACTTTAAAGGCCAATATCCTTGGTATTGATACTAAACACCTTTGTCTCTTTGTGTAAAGAGATCCCCCTTTTCCCTAGATATTATTACTTTTAGAAACCCATACACAAGAAACTTGAAACATTTAACTATACTACATCTTGTCTTCCTAACTAGACAGTAACTTCTTGGAAGCTGGAGAATATTTCTTCTTCACTTTTGTGGTGGGGTTACATTTTTGACATCATTTTACTTAATGCACATTATTTTAAAAACGATGTTCTTTGTTTTTGGAGAGAAGGGAAGCATGGGAGAAAGAGAGGGAAAGAAACAGTGATGTGAGAGGAAAACATCCATTGATTGCCTTTCACATGCCTCCAACCAGGGATCTGGCCCTCATCCCAGGAATGTGCCCTAACCAGGAATCAAACCAGTGACCTTTAGGTTTGCAGGAGGACACCGAACCCACTAAGCCACACCAGTCAGAGCTTAGTGAATTTTATTTATTTGATTTCCCCACCAAACTTGTGAGCTAGCACAATGACTGGATTACAGAGGGCACCTAACAACTCAGCACTTTTCACTGAGACAGGGACCCAAGAGAGGAAGAAGGTCTGGTCAGGGGTTCCCATCTCCCACATGAAAGAATTCCACTGGGGATGAAGAATCAATTGTGTTGAGAATCATGTCTCCTTCCTAAGGAATCCTCTGCCTTTACATATGCAACTGTCAAAAAAATCCTCACCTGAATATATGTTTATTGATTTTACAGAATGAGGAAGAGAGAGAGACAAAGAGTGACAGAGAGAGAGAGAAACATTGATGTGAGAAAGAAGTATTGATTGGTTGCTTCTTGTATGTGCCATGACTGGGGAGCAAACCCAAAACCCAGGTATGTGCCCTGATAGGGGATGGAACCTGCAACCTTTTGGTGTATGGGAGGGCTCTCCGAGCAACTGAGCCACCTGGCCAGGACAGCTACATATGCAACTTCATAGGATCCTGACCCCATGCTGGGCTTGTAGTGTTCAGACTCAAGAAAGCAGACTATTAAAATAAGTATTATCACTATTGTAAAATAGCGTTTATTGTTTCAGGTAAAGCCTATTCAGGAAACACTCCTTGGGTGCCTTCTGTGGGCTAGACACTATGAACTGGTTATTATGTGGGAGAAAATGCAGAAAGAAATAACACGTGCATAGTCCCAGTCCTCAGGGAGCAAATGAGCCAGCAGGTCCTAGGTTACAGACACAAGTATGTGTACAATAGCTATAATAATTGTAATAATTTGCATTATTAAAATGTAACTATATGTCAGGCACTATTTAAAGAGCTTTACCTACATGATCTATCTTTATCCTCATAATAATTCTGAGAGTAAAATACCTTCATTATCCCCACTGGACAGAGGAGGAAATGGAGGCATGTAGAAGTTAAAGAAGTTGCCCCAGGTTACAGAGCCATAATAGAGCTGATAGCTAAACATGGCCAAGGTGACTTCAATGCCTGTGCCTCTATGAAAAGTGTTAATAATTAAGGGGGAAACCTAGAAAACAGAAATTAGTCTCTCTTCTGCTCAGGTTTACTTTTTGCTTGTTTGTTTTCAGTTTTTTTTATTTTGTGCTGTGGTTTACTTTGAATCAGAAAACATTATCTTTTCTTTTTTCATCCTCATAATCCTGTGCAAAGGTACACACATTTTTGTGGAGGGGAGCATGAGATACCTGTACTGCTGTTGCAGAGACATGTATTGATGGAAATGCCCTCTTTAGTGTTCAAGAGAATCCCTTAATTTGCTTGAAGTCTATCAGGGTCACTGGGGATATGAGAAGAATCAGGTTTTCTGGGAAGGATTTGGAGGTAGAGACTCAAGAAGGTGGAGACTCAAGACTCAAAGCTGGAAGCTGGGAAATCAGAGCGAGGCTTAATTCAGCACCGTGGACAGAGCCCCTGAAACTCTCAGGACCCTGGACAGAGAACGCGGTCTGGGCTGCGGGGAGAACAACTCTCAATTGAGAGCGGATCAAGCGAAACCAGAACGCTCAACTCCCTTCTCTCTTTTCTTCAGCCAGACCTCAGTCACCTGAACTCAGTCATTCCTAAATCTTAAGAACAGAGGTGAAGGGAGTAAATATATTTTTAAGGGCACTAGTAACAAGGAGAAAAGACTCTGAGGTGGGGAGGAGTATATAAATAAAAACTGATTTGGCTGATACTCTCAGAACTCTTGCAAGATCTAAATTAGGGTCCTCAGCTGGGAGCGGGGAATTGCTAATGCTATTTGTTAATGGTATGTATTTTTAAAGGACAACTTGTCCTTTTAATCATCAAAAGTCCTATCCCTCACCCCTTACACTCAAGTTTTAGCCTCTTGGACAGCACTCCATGTAGGAAAGAGAAATACTCTCTCCACACTCCCTTGCTCTCCTCACCACCTTCCCCTTCCCTACTGCCACGCATCCCCTTTCTCTTTCTCAAATACATGCGCGCGTGCGAGCACACCGCCGCAGGGTGAAAGGCACTTGGTGGAGAAAATTGAATTCAGAGCAAGCGGAAGCCTCCGAAAGCAGGCTCTGTCCCTTTAAATGGGTTGTAGCAGTGGGGGAGGGGAACTGGCCGGAGCTGGCATTGTCCAGTTTGAACTGAGCACCGGAAGTGAAGGGGCAGGGCCAGGGCCGTGCACTGAGGCCCGGGCCATTGTCCATCTCCGACCAGGGCACTAGGCCACCCCCCTGGCCAACCCTCTTTATCTCCTAGAAGGGGAGCTGCCTCTTGAAAGGAGGAGATCCCCACCTTCAGGTCTCCTACCAGCCCCACTGTGGGTAGAGGAGGGCGCTTTAGGGTGGACATCGAAACAAGGAGGCTCTGGGAAACTGATAGTGCCCAGAGCACTGAAGAAAGTGCCTGGACCCCACGCACCCACCTAGTCCCTCTGCCAGCAACGCAGGGGGACAGAATGGGGCTGGGGCGAGATGAGCACAGCTGCCAGAGGCAGGAATATACTTCAAGTCTTTCTGAGTTCCTCTTGCTTTCCCAGAAAGCTCCACGTGGGGTCAATTTTAGACAAATTTGGAAGGCAAAAAGGATTCTTTACACAATCAATTAGGAGGAGCGCCTTGAAAGATCCAGAAAAACTCATTCGGTAACTCAGAGAGGCAGAGAAACTGAAGAGACAACAGACTTCGGGAGGCAGAGGCTTGATGTGGACTTGAGACCAGTCCTGCCGGGTCTCTGGCCTCCCCCCGCCCCCCCCCCCCCCCCCCCGCGCTCCCCTATCTCAGACTTCCTGGTATCCTGAACTCCAGGTCTATCTAAGCACACGGGGTGGGGGGTGAGAGCGGGTCAGCGCCGAGCAGCCGGGTCAGCTTGGAGGCCTGAAGGGGAAGGGAGGGGGAGGGGCGCTAAAGTGTTGGGGGAGGGGGAGGGCTCATCCATTTCTCCCTTGACAGGTGGTTTGTGTCTCTGATTGGCCAGCGCTGCTAGGCTCACACCTCCCTCCCCCAACTCTCTGGAATGTATAATTATCTGCGCGGGGGGCGGGGGTGGTGTGTGAGTGTGTGGGGGAGAAGTCACGTGGTTTTGAAACTACCCCTCACATGCACACACAGTCCCCCCACCTGTATGTTGCTTTGGGACCCCCAACGAGTCATTAAAGTGAAGGATTCCAAATTCCGGGGTACTCAAGACTTTTAGGGCTGATGGCCCCTATTTCCAGATGTGTGTATGGAGAGGAGGTGTCAAACCTCAGGGTTCTGAGAAGGGACACTCCAGGGGTGTCAGAGAACGCAGTGTGGGGGAGGGCAGGAGCTGGAGACGAAGGAAAAGGGAGGGGAAAGAAGAAGGAGGAGAGGGAGGGGGCAGCCCGCGGGGGGTTGGGTCATTGTCTATTAGAATTTGGGAGCCTTTGAAAAGCCGTGGGCCCTCCCACCGCTATTGTGCTGGGGAAGATGTAGCTGCCTCTTCTCTGAGCCACCCCTTTGCCTCCAGACTTCTCTGGGGCCAACAGCCGCCGACCTGGGGCCCGGGGCTGCGGGCTTAGCCGACTACCATGGGCTCCGTGTCAAACCAGCAGTTTGCAGGTTCGAGCTCGGGACTTACTGGGGACACTCCAGGCTACAGGGGCGCCCAGAAGCCACTTAGAAGGGAGGTGGGAAAGTGTTCCCCAGGCTGGCCGGAGGAACCCAAGTCTGTGCGGTCTCGTGCTTCCAGGGGGTCATCTGTGGAGCAAAGAATGCTGGTGTCCCAGTGGCGCCCACACAGAGGCTACGGGGCAGAGGGGAGAAGAGGAAGGGCCCGTCCGGCGGTCGGTCCCGGGGCAACGTGTTGTGGGAAAAGGAGCAAAACTTTCAGGGCACCCACGACTGACCTCAGCTTAAGGTTTGGGAGCGCGGGAGGCAACCGGGACAGGTCTTTTATTACTGGCTGCAGCCTCCTGGGTGTCCACCCGAGGACGCCCGGGTCTCCCTGCCGGCCCTCTGGGAGGGTCCTCCAATTCTGTGGCCCGGAGAGCTGAGCGCCTTCTCAATCTCCAGGTGGCTGCGCCAAGGCGCCGGAGGAAGCGCCGGCGGACGCAGCGGCGGCGGCGGCAGAGGAGCCGCAGCTGCTACACGGTGCAGGCATCTGTAAGTGGTTCAACGTTCGAATGGGATTCGGTTTCCTGTCCATGACCGCCCGCGCCGGGGTCGCGCTCGACCCACCGGTGGATGTCTTTGTACACCAGGTGAGACCGATTCTGGTAACTTTAGCGCAGAAGGGGATGTTGGCGCGAGTATTCGAGGGTGGGCGGACACGCTCGGCTCTTAGATTGAGGGCGATCAAGGGCCCTCATTGTGCGTTCCCATTTTTGGGATGGTACCCCACATCTGATTCCTGGTTAACTCCAACAGGACGAGAGTGAGAGGCAGAGTGGATTATCAGCACCTCCCACTCCCTTCCAGGAACCCTTCTGGCTTACCACGTGTTTGTTACCTCTTTCCCCTAGGAAGGGGGCAGGGGCAGCGAGGTGACCCCATGTGGCAGAAACTAAGGTTGTATTGTGCTTGCGGGTGGGGGGAGGGCCAGCGTGCCGGCCAGGGAAGCACATGCCCGGCCATACCAAGGGCCCTGAGCGCCAAGCGCGTTTCACTACGTGAATGGAACTCTCGGGCAGGGAGAGGGAGGGAAACTGCTGTAGGACCCAACAAGGATAAAGCTACAAAGTCAGCCAGGTCTCCTCATCAGCCAGGTGGCCACACAAAACTCAGCCCCTGAGGCCTACCTAGGTGGATTTGGCAGGTCTTTCAAGGGTCTATTAGAGGGCCTGAAAGTTCCGCCAAATGACCAGTCTCAGGCATACAGTTTACCGACTGGGCTTTTGCTGTCCGGTTCCTACCATAAAGAAAATCTAAGGAGCCCAGGCCTTAGATTCCTGGGCCAGGTTGGGAGGAGTTAGGTTGCAACCCCAAGTTCTCAGTTACAGCAGGGCAGAACAGTGGGGGTAAAATTCAGTGTCTCGGGGCAGGGGGTCGAGGGAGGCTAGCCTCTGGACCTATTCTCAGCTTGGCATTTATGGCCCCAGAGAGCCATTCATTGCTGTCCTAACATTCCCAGCCTCAAACAAGGAGCCGGAGACTTCAGGTTTCCCCCCTCCCTGGCCTCCCTCTCACCCCTTCCTAAATACATTAGAAGCCTTTGGGTGGTCCTGGGACACTAGCCACCCATAAGGACTCTGTAAAAAAAAAGTTGTTGCCTGCGTCCTTTCCACCTCTGGAGGTTTTGGGCTCGGCCTGAGAAGAAGAAAGGGCTAATCCCAGGCCAAGGAGGTGGGCACCCAGGCCGGGCATGGAGGGGTTACTTTGGGGAGGTTGGCTTTAGATCCTTGGGGGAGGGGAAAGGAGGATGTGGGGATTAAGGGTTGGAGCCTGAGGGATGGTATTCTGGAGGGGGATGGGTGGAGAAAGGAGATGCTGGGTGGACTGGTTCGAGACTCTCAGAGGAAGTAAAGTGTGGGAGGGGCAACAAGGGAGATTGGGGACCCAAAGAGATGGGGGTCTGCCAGTTAATGTTGGTGACTTGGGGTCACTGGGCTGCTTGAACATCTGCAAGGAGGGTCTGCAGCAGGATGCTTACCTACTCCCTTGTAGCACTCGTTCTTACCTCCTATCAGACAGCTAAGGGTAGTTCTAGTTAGTGAACTACCTCTTCCCTGTCTCATTTACCTATGTGAATGATAATCCACAGGAAGTAATTCTGGGAGAAAGAATGGAATTAGCCTCTTTAGATCTATTAAATCACTTTATTACAGGAACCAGCGTTGAATGCCAGTACTCCTGACTCTACCATTTATCTTATCACAAAGAGATTAAAACCCTTCTGGGTCTGGAGAGGGACTAGACAGCTACCCCAACTTTGGGAGGCTTTGAATAAGGGTCAGAATCAACATTTTCTTGCCTTCATTCCTAAGGCTGCTGAATAGGGAGATGTAACCCCGTCATCATCTTGGGTTCCTTGGTGATATGGAGGAGAAAGATACTTTCCTCTACCCTCAAGGTTTCTTTGGCTGGTCTAGTCAAGTAGGCATTAGACAGATTAGCAAGAGAGTAACCAAATTTTATACATGGGCATAGGAACCCTGCATATATGAGAGTCAGGAACTCCACATGCACAAGAGATTTAAAGATACAAGGGAAACCTGGGTGTTCCTTTGTAGACATTCTGAGCTAGGGATGAGGTAAGATGCCTTAGGGGCTTTGAAGGGTTACTGTAGGACCTTAAGAAGAGCAGATGTTCAGTAAGAGGAAGTTTGGCCTGCTCTACCCTATAGACCAGTCAGAAGAGGTTATTTCTGATTAATTCTTACATGGCCAAGGTCCCTAATTCAACTTCTTATAGGTAGGCAAGGGAGGGGCAGAAGTCTTTCTTAATCCTGCAGTTTTTCCTTGGAAAATTCACATCCCACAGAGGCACATCTTGGTGTGACTCGTTCTGAACTCCCACAGTGATAACCAGACCCAGGGGGAGGTTTTTCTGAGCAAGTGGATCTGTGCCTCAGGGCACCTTAACCTTAGGATCCAAAGCAATTGGAAATATTAGATGGCAGAGAGAAAATCAGTATCCTTCAGGTTTGGGGGGTGAAGCCCACACCATCTGTTTCAGATAAGTTAGTTAGGAGGTAATCTTGACTTCAGAGTCTTGGAATTTCCAGGGACATTCCACCGTTGAATAAGTTATCAAGAGGGAGTTGAGCTGGGATAAGGAATCTAGAACTTGTCATGACTAACAGTCCCAGGACAGTGACTAAGACTTACTTGATAACGTTCCCCCAACCCCGAAGATTTTTTACTTATTTATTTATTTTTAGAGAAAGGGGAAGGGAGGGAGAAAGGAGAGAAACTTTATCTATCGGCAACTCAACCAAGACCCAAAGCTGCAACCCAGGCATGTGCTGACTGGCACCCTAGCCAGCTACCTTTTGCTTTGCAGAACAATGTCCAACCAACTGACACACAGTAGTCAGAGCGTTAGGTCTTTATAACACGCTGCCTGGGCTTGAATTAATCCTCAAACCGTACCATAGCAGTAAGTTAGACTACTGACCCAGTCCCTGCACTTGAGAAATATTTCTCTGGAAATCTAATGTAGAGGAATTAAGTAGATTCAGGGTGATCCTTAAAAATTGTCCTGGGAGAGGAAAGTGTTCCCAAAGTGGAGGGAGGGTAAGACATTTCTCTTTAAGAAGAAACCTCCCCTTCTTTGGCTGCTGGTGGTGGTGAGCACCTTGGAGTTAGAGTTCAGGAGAGGTGGTCTGGGAGCCCCTTCCTAAGGAAAGAGGAAGGGGGAAAGCAATTTAACATTTTCTTTTCCCTTCCCAGGTGGGCCTACTTGGTACTTAACACTGTTCATTACTGTTCTTTTGCTCCCTCTCACTCTATGCCCCCAGGGTGTGAATGAGTAGGAAACAAAACAAAACCTTAGTCTTTAAAAAAATAAGTAAATAAAGCAAAGAGATTAACAGCTCTTTTCTTTTATTCAGCTACAGGTCTTTGGACCTAGAACTTTTTGCCTGTCCCTGGGGTTAGAGGAATTTAAAATCATAATGGCAGATGGCCAGCCCTTAAGTCCAGGTTTCTCAACCACTAAGGACATAATTGGAGCAGGATAACTCCTCTTTATGGGCATCCTTCAGTTGTGACAACAAGAAATGTCTCCAGACATTATCAAATGCCCCGCAGAGGCAAAATGACCCCAAGTTGAGAAACACAGTTATGCAGGAAAAGCTGGAGCAAGAAAGCTGAACTGTGTCAATTTCCTGAGATTCTGACATCTCCATGGACTTTGGAAGAGTTTTGGCTTAATGTGTTTCCTGTGGCTTAACTCCCAAACCCCCCAAAATTAAAAATGTGAGCAAGGTCCCCTGCTTTCTCCCACCACTAATCAGAACCCAAATATTTTAAAAACAGCTTTCTGGCTGAAAGACTGTATTAGAAGGCTTGGAGGAAAAAGAAGAGCCCGACAGAGTTGGGGTTAGAAAAAAATTTTAATACCGATAAACTGTTGGGACTGCTCAGACCTGCTTTTCCTGAAGATAAGTGTGGCCTCAGGCAGGGTCTAAGTTAGGACTCTAGGGTTGGGGGTAGTGTATGTAAAGAGATCTTTCACCTGGTTTATAACATTAGTGGTGCCTCTGATTGCTCACCTCCCCTAGTCTCTAGTTAGTGATGTACTAGTCTTATCCCCTCCCCTAACTAACCTGTAAGCTCTTCAGAGGGAAGGACTAGCCACAAGGTTAGTTTTCTGGTTCACGTTGGTAGGCTGAAGCAATGAATGTGGAGAAGCAAGGGGCTCCTTGGAGAATCAGGAGTACACAAACAGTGTGGAGTCCTTGTTAGTACGGGTCTTCCTTCAGAACAAAGGACTGGAGATGGGGAAGGAATGCTAACTGGTAGCTGCTCTCTTTCGGGACTGATTGGAAGCTATGGGATTGTTGGTCATTAGTTACTTCATTTCCATCTTAATAGGATAAAGCATATTTTAAAAAATGAGTGGATCACTGACTTTCAAGGAAGTTGGTAGGGAGGTACCTGGGTTGATTTGAGCATTATGGTGTCTTCTTGGGTTCTTTCTTTCTGAGGAGACATGCTTTCTAGAAAAGGACCCAAATAAAGAGGGTCCTTTATCCTGAGATGGTGGTACCATCTCAGTTCCACTGTGAGAAACTAATACCTTGTATTTGGCAACACTGCTACTTGCCCTGTAAATGGTCAGTGAGTCCCCAGGGCATGTGGTTTCTGGGACATTCCTGATCAAAGTATGACATCATCCTTCTGGATGATTCCAGAAGGATGAAACCGTCTTTCTGGAAGGTTTTTTTGGTTTTGTTTTTTTTTTTCCAATTTTAGGGTGGGGTAGGAGGAGAAACTACCCCAGGCAAAACCTCTACCCCTCCTTCTGTGGGTATGAATAGTAATTGCCTAATTATTATGTGCTAAGTCTGGGAGGTCAAAGAAGGTGAGGGAGGAAGAAGAGAAAACTTGAAAGAATAGTACATAATTAGTACAGATTAATTTTAAATTATCTCAGTTTGGAGTTAATTTAATTTAGACAGAAAACCAAAATCCAAATAAATGGCTTTTGTAAATTGCATAAGCACTGGGTTACTGGCTTAAAACTCCAGGATCCTCTCTTTCATACCCTGAGTGGGAGGGTGGGGGCAGGGCGAGGAGTAAGCACCCCATCCTTACAGGGACTCTTCCTCATCAGAGTTCAGTCCCCTTCCTGGAGAACTCCATCTTCCTGAGGACAGAAGAGATGTCTGCCCAAAGTCACTGGGGAGAGAAATCTAGGTGAACACTCACCTTCATCAGCAGCTCCTTCTGCCCGTTGGCAGCCTTGTGCCAGTGGGCTGATGAGCAGCACCATCTGGTGGAGGACTCCAGGCAGGAGTTGGTGGTCCTGGCTATGTCCGAGCAGAGGTGATGCGGAGGTGGTTCTAAACGATAGATCTCTTTCCCCACCCTCCCTAACAAATAAACTATCGAATAAACTGCTTCTGGAAAACTGGTTGGTTTGTCCCAGCCCCACCAAACCCTCTACTTTCAGGAATAAACTCAGATCTGAACGTGGGGATGCTTCAGAACTGAGTCGTTTTATCTGCTTTTTACTTTTTAAATGTGGCTATTAGAAAGTTTTAAAATGTTGTGATTTGTATTATATTGCATAGCGCTGTATATAGAGTTAGGCTATAGTTTATTCCACAAATTGTGTGCAGTATTGGACACCTAGGTAGTTGTGAGCTGGAATGGCCGTGGGTGTTACAGAAAAAGCTGGGAACGCCTGCTTTGATTCCTGTGAGCAAGGCAAGTGAGTTTTCTGAAATCCTGACTCTGCCACTTAGGTAGAAAAGAGTGATATGATAAAGGCGGGGATGTGCACAAAGGAGAGATATGTCAGAGCCGGTAGGGATCTAAGTCTGATCCCCTACTTTTAAAGATGATTAAAGAACCAAAGCTATCCAACCTCCATTAAGCAAGATGAGGGAATCTCAAATTCCTATGAGTTTTTTTACTTCACACCCTCTGAGTGACCCCTGAGGTCTGGCCTTTTCATTCTTTAAACTTAAAAGGCATATGTTGGTGTTGGGGATATTTGATGTGGGGGAAGGTTGGAGTAGGCAGTGGTGAGGTATGAAGGGAGCAGAAGGCATAACTGGCCCGTTACTCCCTGCCATCCAAAAAAAAGAAGGCCTTTTGAGACTTTTCTGTCTGATTAGATGCTACCTCCCCCTAAGCAGTGGGCTGCCCTGTAGCCTGCCCGACCTCCTTTCTTAAACACATTGGGAAAGGAAGAATGGAGACCTGCCTCCCACATCACCTATAAAATAATTTATCTGAGCCCTGGCTGGTGTGGTTCAGTAGTTTGAGCGCCGGCCTGTGAACTGAAAGGTCACCGGTTTGATTCCCAGTCAGAACACATGCTTGGGTTGTGGGCCAGGTCCCCAGTTTGGAGACACATGAGAGGCCATCAATCCATGTTTCTCTCCCTCTCTTTCTCCCTCCCTTCCCCTCTCTCTAAAAGTAAAAATCTGTAAAATATTTTTTTCTGAGTAACTCTAATTCATATTCCTGTGTAAAGGATTTGACTAAAGGCACTGGAGGGGAGGGGATCAGATCCTGTTTAGTTCCAGCCCTGGAGGCGAGGGGTGGCAGGCAGGTCAGAGAGAAGGAAAGATGGCTGCTGGTTGTGATTCTGGCAGACCCACCACTCTTAACTAGGGAAGAAAGGTATCTCTGTATCCATTTCTCACGCAGTGACCATAACCTCAAGGAGAAGAGGAAGGAAGGAACCAATGAAAGGTGAGTGCGTGTGTGCATGTGCGTGCGTGCGTGCGTGTGCGTGTGCGTGTGTGTGTGTGTGTGTGTGTGTGTGTGTGTAATCTCAGCCTCTGGAACTCCAGGAATCTGACCACCAGAACCAACCAGTGTCAACTCTTTGTTTCCAGGGGCTGGGCTCTATTGGGGAAACTCAAGCCTTGCCCCTCCCCACCCCAAGCCTTTTCTTTTTTTGGAGGGGATGGGGAGAGGGGCGGTCTCTGCTTTGTGTGTGGTTGGGGGTGGGGTGGGGGCTGTAACAAGAATTTCTGTCTCCTTTCTGATTCCGGGCCCTGTGAGCCTGGCTCAGTGGGGCTGCATGCTGATTACCTATCTGATAAGAGAGGAATTCAAAGTATGTGTTTTAGGAAGGGGCCAAGCAGGGGGCAGGGAGCCACCCCTAGAGACATCCAGTCTAAATCTTGACCTGTTATGGTGAGGTGACTGCAGTTTAACTATTTCAACGTCTTAAACAGACCTCAAATCTTCCAATGATGGAGTGGGTGATCCAAGAGGACTAGTCAGTTTCATATTGGCCCCATTTATATTACCCTCTTGGTCTTACAGTAAGTCTATTATAAGATGTAGATAAGGAGAGTGTTTCCTCAGTAACTTGGAGCTCAGAGAGGGGGGTAGTTTTCTGAGTTTCCACTAATTAATGATAAAAACCAGAGTTAAAATTCCCAGTCTCTTGACACTTGGTTCCCACAGTTACTCTACCTTGATCCAATTTGAAGAGGTTGATGATAATTGCCACCCAGTGGGGATTTATATAATGTGTGGCAGGCAATGTGTTAATTACTTTTCATGCTTAAACCTCACGGTACCACCATAAAGTTAGTATTTACTTCCATTTTGTAAGTTAGAAAGGAGGGAACAGGACCTCAGTCTCCAGACTTGGGGTTCTTAATCACTAATCTGCTGAATTATAGCTAGACCTGGGGGTGTCCCAGCCTAGGAGCCCACTAGATAACTAGGAGAAGCTGCTATTGCCTGGGTCTTGATTCAACTCCTCCAGTACCTCCTGATTCCATGGATTGTCCAGCTCAACAAGAGACAAATCACATCTAACTTCAAATTCAGGATCGTTACTGTGTGATGGGAAAGGGGGCTGGCATCTTTCTTTCTGCAGCGGAGCCTTAGGTAGGTATCTTGCTGGTAATTAGCCCTTGTCTCTGAAAGATTTGAGGCCCCAGGGTGAATGGTTGACCAAGGTTACTCTGCCAGATATTGGTAAAACCAGCATTTTATGAACCAGGATGTATCTGGCACCTCAGTCTGTACTCTTAATCAATTATCTCAGTGGAAGTATTGCCTTAAGCAATACCGTTTAGGTTAAAACAAAAATGTGATTGATGAACTGGGGACCCCATATGGCTAAAGAGCACATTTCATCTAACCCCCAGTTTGAAATAGTATCCCATCCTTCCCCTCCACCAACATCAGTTGTAAAACACTTATGCTACTTACTCATGTTTCCTCCAGCCCCCAGAACTCTTGCTTCTCTGAACCTCACTTTCTGTGGTGACTACACCTTGTTGACATTTGTCCCAATAATCAAGGAAGCTGTAATGAAGTCTAATTTGGGTAGGATATAGGAAGGGCTGTCACCTCTAGTAAAGTGTTATTGTTAAGCAGTAAGTGGCAAGGTGGAATGGGCTGTGCTTCAAATCAGGAATCCTGGGTTCTTTTGACACTGGCTTTGCCACTCAGCTAGCTGTGTGAATAACTCTCCACTTATTTGAAGGCTACTAGGCTCTTTGCTAGTGTCAGAATTTTTTAGAGAATTTTTATGAGTTTATTTGAGCCAAACTAATGACATATGCCAGGAAGCAAGATCTCCAGTGCTCCCTGCAGAGTTTTTAAACTTTGGTACAAATATGCAGTTTTTTAACAGGTGCTCCATACATTATTCTAAATCTTTTTTTTTCCTTTAAATATATTTGGTCATTTTTCCAAGTCAGGTAATTAAAATGTACTCCTTATTCATTCATCCAGAAATGTGTGAGGCATTATTTAGGTGCAAAATGCAGCAATGAACAAAACAGGGACTTGACATTCTTTTAACTGGCCGCATGGTCGGGTCTGGGAGGGACTGTCGCGCGCGCACACACACACACACGTCACATACCGTCTTGCGTGCGCACGCCAGGTGTTGTTGTTAAGCAGTAAGTAGCAAGGTGGAATGAGCTGTCAAACCAATGAGATTATCATGTTGTCCTGCAAATTACTTAGGTATATTCTGTTTTGTGATTCTCTCTTTCTCTTTTTTTATTTATAGTTGCTTTTTGTAGTTTTATCAATCTAATTATCTGTCTTGATTTTATAGTTTTATTCTTTAAGTCCTGGAATGTATTTTACATGCATATAATACAAAGGGTAGAATTCTGGCTTCATTTCCAAATATAGAGCAAATGTTCTCAACAGTGTTTATTGAATTGTTTTCATCACCTATTGATTTCCCCTCATATGCTTGGTTCTCCTAGTGGACTTGCCCTTATATATGCATTTGCTTGGGTCATACTGTTTTTTCCTTAAATTCTATGTTTAAAATTTTTTCTTCCGTTTCACTTGGAACTTTAAATGAGATTAGCTATATAAAAAATGTAATGGCACCTGTTATAATATGATCGTTCTTTGTTAATATAATGTAGATTTCTTGTTCTTGACTGCGGCGACTCCTTTTCTTTACTGATAAAATGGGAGTGTTATTACACTTGTTCTCCCTGCATTACGAGAATACATCTGTGCAGGTTTTTGTTTGGGGGAGTTGATGTGTAGTGATAGAGACTAGCAGTAAAATCTACCATGTTTCCCTTCCCCAGAGTAAGCTGCACATGGAGGGCTTCCGGAGCCTGAAGGAGGGTGAGGCAGTAGAGTTCACCTTTAAGAAGTCTGCCAAGGGCTTGGAATCTATTCGAGTCACTGGCCCTGGTGGGGTCTTCTGTATTGGAAGTGAGAGGCGACCGAAAGGGAAGAACATGCAGAAGCGCAGATCAAAAGGAGACAGGTATGGATTGGAAGGTGGCTTATGTGGATTGGTAGGGACATGCTAAGGATGGGGAAAGTTCTCTCAATCTTCTTGCCTCATTTCTTGGACCCGGTTGCCAAAGATAAAATGAAGCCTATGGTTCCTGGCAACATCTGGATGATTAGGGTACCTACCATAGATGTGGGAGACAAGGAGAGGGCAGTGTGTGAGGAGGGTACTTGACGTACAGTTTTTCTCTGTAAGCTGAGGCCTCACTTGCTAAGTGGGAACAGTGATACTAACCTCGTGTGATTATTTCAGAGCTAAAGGAGAATGGTTGTGAAATGGTGTGTCTGTACTTATTGGTCCTTCGCCAGGTCTTCAAATGGCTGATTTTATTTATTTTAGCTCTGTGATTAAACAGACTGTATAATCTGACTCCTTTAATTTCTTCTTTGTTCTTAATGACAGGCAGCTACAGTCTTTTTAATATTTTATTTTATTTTTAGAGTTAGGGCAAGGGAGAGAGAAAGAGAGGGAGAGAAACATCAGTGTGTGAGAGAGACATCCATTGGTTGCTCCTCCCATGCCCCCAACCCAGGGCCCGGCCTGCAGCCCAGGCATGTGCTCTGACCGGGAACTGAACCAGTGACCTTTTAGTTCACAGGCCGGTGCTTAATCCTTTGAGCCACACCAGCCAGGGCAGGTACAGGGTTTTTAAGGGTATGGTAGAGTTTTAGCTACCCCCTAAATCATAGTGCTCACTTGGGGTCCATGGTTTCTATTCTTGGTATTTCAGTGTTTTCAAGGTGACATAAATCTGAAGACTGTCTAGATTCAGGTTTGGAAAAGACTTCAAGATACCTAGTCACATGTCTCCTTTTATAAGTGGGAAAATTGGTCTCCAGGAAGGAAAGAGCCTGAATGTCCTCAGAAAAAAAGGTTTCTGATCTCTTCTCACTCCTTTCTCAATTTTTACCATCCTGTTTTGTACCAGGTGCTACAACTGTGGAGGTCTAGACCATCATGCCAAGGAATGCAAGCTGCCACCCCAGCCTAAGAAGTGCCACTTCTGCCAAAGCATCAGCCATATGGTGGCCTCATGTCCATTGAAGGCCCAGCAGGCCCCCAGCTCACAGGGAAAGCCAGCCTACTTTCGGGATGAAGAAGAAGAGATCCATAGCCCTGCCCTGCGCCCAGATGCCGAGAATTGAGCTACAGTGTGTCAGAGGCTATCCTTTTGTGATCAGGAAGTTTCAAGGAGCAGGCATCAATCGGCAGAATGGAGAAAGTGGGGACAGGGTGGGTAAGGGGCAGCTGGCACTGCCATGTATCTCAGGCTGGGTTCCATGGCCTCATCCCCTCTTCCTTCTTGGTCAGGGGGAGCAGGGAGGCACAGGAACCCAACCACACTCTATCCAAATGCATGCAAGGGCTTTGGGGGAAATACCTCTGTGCAGGCCTTATTTGAGTTGCCAGCTTTCGAAAGTGACCTGGATAGGGAAGTTGTTTTCTTTTTAAAGAAGGATATGTAATGATAATATTTCCCCTGCCAGAGTGAAAAGATTAGCATGAGACCAGATTGATGAACTCAGCCCACAAATGATTACATTCTGTGGAAGGGAATCTCTCAGGGGTACAGTACAGCAGGGTTTTTCCTTATCCTCCACTCTTGGGAGAGAGTGCTGGAAATTGCCCCAAGCAATGGGTTGTGACTATAGGCAAAAGGGATGATTGGGGAACAGCTGCAGACCCACTGCTCCTAGGCTCCCTCCCACCCCATTTCTGGGCCAATACAATTTTATTTGGGCCCTTGGATAACTGCACCTTGGGTCCCACTTTCTCCAGGATGCCAACTGCACTAGCTGTGTGCGAATGACGTATCTTGTGCATTTTAACTTTTTTTTTTCGTAATATAAATATGCTGGTTTTGTATTTTTGTGTATTTTAATCTAAGGCCCTCATTCCTGCACTGTGTTCTCAGGTACATGAGCAATCTCAGGGATAAGTGGGCAGCAGCTCCAGGTCTACACAGCAGGAATGCTTTTTGCTATTTTATCATCAGGGAGAACAACTATTTGGAGTGTATAGCCTATTGAACTACCTCCTTTTTGCCACTTAGAGCTGGGTTTTCTGCCATAGTGTCCTCTTGAAACCCCTCCATCTTCAATGTTTTGTGGAAGACTAGATTTTAACTGGATGGCCCCATTATTTGATCTCCTACCAGAAGATTGCAGATTGGTCTGAACAGGAATAAGTGGTTGGCGCAGAGGTTAGGAGAGGCAGGGCTAGGTGAAAGGCACAGAGGGGAAGCCAAGATTAGGTGAGGTTGTCTATACATGTGTAACCAAGGATTCCTGTTCCAGACCTCTAATTCCAGGGTTTGGGATTCACATTACATACCAGATGCATACATACCTTACTATTGGGCTAGGCTTACCATGCACAACAAGGGGTGTTTGTGTGTGTGTCTGGGTGTGTTTTAAAAACAACAAAAAATGAGTTAATAAAGATAGGTTTTAAAAACAATACCTCTCTACCCACTTTGAGCTCTCTGGGGATGGATATTTGAAGCAACGACTAAATTTTTCAACCTTTAAAAATTCTTTGTTTTTCCTCTTGGCCTCCAGAGAGACCGTAAGTGATGACTTCTTTGCGATGCCCAGAGCCAGTGTCCTGCCCTGCTGCAGCAGTGACTAGTGTCATAGTAGCTGAAGGGGGAAAGCGGGTTTCATTTACATACTGTGAGATCACTGAAAACCTACCTCACTGTGTTGAAACGGGGCAAATGCAATAGAATGCATTAGGTTATGTGTGTCTGATCTTGGGTTCTTGTCCCCCCCAATTGCTGCCCGCTCCAGTTAATGTATTTATCTGGGCTTTGTAGGACTTCACAGTAGCTGATTTGGTGATCGCTAGGTGGCCTAGTTTGTATAAATGTGTTGGTCTTTCTCCATGTTCTTTTGGGGCTTTATTGTTTACAAACTTCTTTTTGTATTGAGAAAAATAGCCAAAGCATCTTTGACAAAAGGTTCTGCACCAGGCAAAAAGGATCTGAAACCCCTCTTGAAGTGGGGGTCTTGAATCATCCTTTCTATCGTTTGCTTTTCCTCTGTCTTCTATTTTGGACCAGATCTTCTATCCTAAAAACTTGACTCCTACCCTCTCCTCTTTTATCCACACCCCGCCACAAAAGCGCACATACCCACACACATACACATTAAATGTGTGGGATATCACCCCATCTGAAGAAGCAGAAAATATTCCATCCCTTTTTCCCAATACCCTGAGTCCAAACCATTCCTTGATATGTGATTCATGCCAAACATTTATATTGCTGTGTTTTAATCTCTAATCCTAGGGCAGAGAAGCAAGGAGGGGGCCTTTCATTTTGAAAGTGGGGTTGGGAGACCAAGAAAGGGAAGATGAATGTATATCCAAGTCACTCAGGAACTTTTATGCAGGTGCAAAAAACTTATGTCAAAGTAGCCACAAGATTGTTTAATAGGAGACGGACGAATGTAACTCATGTTTACTGCTAGAAACCAAAGCTTTGTGTGAAATTTTGAATTTATGGGGCAGGAGGGAGGGAGGTTAGGAAAGCATGTACCTGTCTGTTCTTTCCCTGATTCCTTCTTATTTCTGAACTACAGGAGACTGAGCCCCCTTGGGCTTTGGTGACCTCCATTACTGGGGACTGTTTATTTGATGGTTGGTTTTGCTGTGCTGGATACTACCACTTGCTATCTATCATTTTGTAAAACACATGCTGACTTTTTCCTTTCTCCTTATTTCCCTGGGAAAATAAAATGAAAGAATAAAGGCTTATTCGTACGGAAACTGTCAACTCCTTGTTAGAAATTTAGGGTGCTTTTCTCCTCCCATAATTTCCATCTACTTGGATTGGGACTCAGAAGTCACAGAAGAACCATTACGTTTTCTGTTCAGCTATTTTGTTGGGGATGAATCTTGAAAGCTAGTCCTCTTAGCACCTCATTACAGTGGATTTTTGTTTCTACTTAAGGCCTCTTGTCCTTTTCTTGCAAACTGCCACATTCAAGAAGGGATTAGGAGTTTGGCATGCATGAGAATAGGTTTGCCTGTGCCACTGGCTGAGATGAAAGGATAGGGCCATGCCTTGGGGGTTGAGACCCTTATGATACTTTGTCTCCTACTCTTCCAATCTCTATACAAATCTTAATTAACGCCCTGCAGCATTCCAGGGAGGCAAATATGTAAAACTGGGGAAATTGAGGCCAGAGAAGATACTCCAACTATAAAAACATTTATTAGCTAGTCCACTAATAAACACTGGGTTTTAAACATTCAGCTTCCCCCCCTAAGGAAAAGAGAATTTTAAAAGATAAAAAAAACTTGCTTGCAGGCATACCATCTATTACAGAAAGTGCACATAAACATTAGCAGAACAAGGGTAAGAAGTTTCATATATCCACTCCAGGGATTTTTTTTATCAAAAGTCTTCAAGCTGACCCTGGAAGCTAGCTAGGCTGAAGCTTGCTTCCCAGATGCAAAGCAGGAAGGACGGAAAAGACTATTCATGAGTGAGTTATTCACCCCCAGGGCATTGAAAATGCCTGGTAAAAGTACTCCTTTCATCACAAAGAGTGGATGACTGTGAATGAGGGTTGCTAGTGTACTATCTCTTTTCTTGGTGAAACGATAAGGTTCTTTGAAAATTGCAAAAGTTTCTTTTTGCTGTTTTTTAAATTTTGAGAAAATTGAACTCCAATTTTTTTTTTTATTTTTTTTTTTAGTTTTTTTGGGTATCATTCTTCTTGCCTCCATTAAAGATTTTGTTTATTTTTAGAGGGGAAGAGAGGGAGAGAAACATCAATGTGTTGTTGTCTCTCCTGCACCCCCTACTAGGAACCTGGCTCACTACCCAGGCATGTGCCTTAGACTCAGAATCCAACCAGTGACTGACTGGTTCACAGGCTGGCACACAATGCACTAAACCACACCAACCAGGGCTGAAATTCAAATTTCTTTGTCAGTTCTTCAAATTCCTGTAACAGTTTTCTGCCAAGTTTGGTACGGAACTAATACCCTTGATTTTTCTATCCGGGTAGGTGGTTGGCCTTCCTGTCTATTATTTAATATTAGAAGTCATTCTTGGAGTAGAGCTCTTTCTAGCTTCAAAGATTTTCCTTTGGGTAGGTCCTGAAAATCTGCAAATCCTGAAATCTCACTGCTTTACATCAGCACAAATGGACTGGTATCCAGTGCGTTTGTGCACTCGATTAGGGCTGGGAAGTTACCAAACGATTAAATGCACTAAAATCTCTACAAGGGGTCTAAAGCCCAGTCCTGCGGCCTTCCAGAGAGCAGGACGCTGCTTTCGGCCATTCACAGCAGACCTAAAATGTCACCAGCAGCTGAAAAGCCCCTCCATTTTTGACATTATCCCCGAATTCTCGCCCTGCAGTGTAACCCTCTTCCGGCTTTCCAATCTGCGGGTTTAATGACCTCTCAGCTCCGTCAGGGCCTCGACCCCGCCCTCCCCACCACACGCGTTCCAGCCAGGTGCCCACCCCCTCGGTCACGTGAGCGCACCTCCCACCCGGGTCTCAGGAGCACGAATTACAGTCAGGCACCGTCTCGCGCAGCTTCCGAGCCGGCCAGCAGGAGACAGGACCACGCCCATTAAGGGCCTGGGGAGGGGCGTGTCTAGGCGCCCAACAATGACGCAATCTCCCAGCGCCACATCGTGAGAAAGTGTCCGTCCCAAGCAGCAGTTCCAAGGAGCTGGCCAGAGGCGAGCAGCTTTTCTGTTCAATTGGTCAACGAGAAGAGAGAGGTGAATGGACGGGGAGGCAACCATGGGAATGACAGAGGGGACAATGGGACAGACAAGTGAGGAGATAAATGGGAGACCACTGAAGTAGGAGGTAACGGAGGTGACAGCTGAAGGAGATAGTAACTAGGGGCTCAGAGAGTGGGGAAACGGCGTGAGGGGAGATGGAGAAGGAAGGATCAGGTTGTAGGCACTCTGAGGTGGCTGGAAGCAGACTTAGAGGTTCAGAAAAGGCCAGTGCAGATACGGAGGAAAAGGGGGTAAGAGCAGGGTCCACCGAGCCAGGAGAGCCAGGGAAAGGCCTCAGCCCCAAAGGTCCCACTGGCTCATATATAAACTCTGGGTGGTGGGAGATTGCAGATTTAGACTAGTGTCTTTGATTTCTAATGCTGGTTGCTC